GTTTAGCCGGCCGATGTCGCCGACAGAGTTAACCACACAGTCAACCCTAAATATCCGAGCTCCAAAATACGAGGTGCAAGATCTCATCAACTGGTCCTGGCTGACCCCTGAGCTTTTTGCATCGTGTGTAGGCCACGCTGTCGTATTCTTGTGGCATGTGCCTCCGTTGTGATGCCTGCCGCTCAATTGCTCCTATTGCAATTCCGATTGCTATCGTACTTCTTACCGTGTGGACATGCACTGGTCATTAGGAATACAGTGCTGATTCCATTCGTTGTCATGGCAACAACCACAATTCATGATGGTGATTTCTGTCTGTTGCTGCGGTATTATCACCATTATGGGCATTGTTCTGCTTGGCACAATTTCTGCTGTGGTACTCCACTCTTGCCATTAAGTTATTGTCACTGTGCCCAGTATCAGTACTAGTGTTATTGCCACTGCTGTCAGTAGTGGTTTGTGTCCACTGTCAACATTGGAGCCTTCCATGCCCAGATTGTTGAGTATAGTCATTGTTATCACGGTTGCCATTCTTGTTTTTTCTGTTTCCAGCTATCCGAGCTTTCCTTTACTGATCTCATTGCAGTTACGTTGTCCTTCCGCCGATGTTACCATTGGTTGTGATATGGATGATTGCCTTAGTTTTCATTTTCGGCTGTTGCCTTATGATTCTGGTCCTCCCACAGCTAGTCTTACTGTTGTAGTCTTTTTTTATGTTTCAGCTCGTGAGGGTGAAGGGCGTGAACTTCGAGTGCATCCTGGGTATCATCGCCTTGAGGCCGTGCCTGCTGTGCTGGGGTGCACAAGGGCCCTACATCCCTAAGCCCCTACACCCGAAGCAGCAGACACCAAAACGCAAAGCATCGGCTGGGATACGGGCTCCAGTGGTAAGAGACCCTATGCCCTAAATCTTTAAGAGGGCATAGTCGAAGTTCAGTGCAAGTCTCAGTCATGATTTTCTTTTGCTGCTCGGCTCGGTCGTGAGGTTTAGTGTTTCGGGTTTAGGGTTTCAAGCTCATAGGGCCATAGGGCTTAGGACCCCCCAGCCTTCAACGCCAAACCTGAGTGCCACAGTTGAGCTGTCACAGCTGTCCGCCCCTAAACCCTAAACCCCAAACCCTAATTCCCAAACCCTAAA